TATGGTTACTAAAAAAACTGTAAATCAATGATGAAAAATTCATAAATTATGTGACAAGATTTGATGTGGATAATTTTTATTGTGCTGCAATGTACTTTTGTTCAAGTTTATATCAATAGTTTTGTATAAACAAATATTGACATTATATAAATGTGAAGAAAGAGAGTGACTTTAATATAAGAAATGTATAGATAGCACCTGATGGAAATTCCTATTTCATTGGCAAGGGAATCTTCAGTATGACAGACCACAGACTTTCATTCCAATACATAGCTTTCCTGTTACACTGTATACTGATTGTTCAATATAATGATATAAGGCAAAGTATGGAATGTTTTGATCATAGTTGTAATCAAACCAGGTGCAAATCCAGGTGTTTCTAATGTTTTCTACTATATAGCAGTGTATGTAGGAACTTGGTAATGTTTTGATCATAGTTCTAATCAAACCAGGTGCAAATCCAGGTGTTTCTAATGTTTTCTACTATATAGCAGTGTATGTAGGAACTCGGTAAATCTGCTGCAGTCACTGCACCTGTAATAAGGATTTACATTTCAATCTCTGCTTGACAGTTGTCTTGAAAGTCTTTAGTCTGTATGTAGATATTTCTGCCTCTTGACCACCTTAATTATGTCTCAATCATTAGTTGCCCCTTGCTAAGGTTTTCATAAAATTATACTTCACTTGATCAATCTTTGACTTTTTTTGCATATAACTACACACATATTTTGCACTGTTACACATGTAACTGTTTAACTGAACAAATATTTGAAATATGTGTGATATGTATTTTGACCCCACATGATTTCCCATAGGTCTAGGGGTCATGACCCCCATCAGGACTGAGATTAAGGGATATGAATGTATGTAATAGAGACATATAGATCGGATATAAATCAGAAATGTTTTTGAAAAGTGGTTTAAATGAAAAGGAAAGAATGCTGATATTGATATATGTTATGATATTTTTCTGATTGATGTATTGTGAGACAGCAATACCAAGCCCTATTAATTAGTGACAACAATCTTGTAATCATATTTAAGTGATGATTTTGCATTCTTTATATTTTTGTTATAAAAAAATTTTTACTGGTGTGTTTGGTATTGTATTGTTTGTATAATACCAGCATGCGATATACTTGTATGAAAAAACGTGGTGATGCTTCAAATTTTGAAACCTGATGGGAGAGTCAGACTTCCCATTGCAAGTTCCTGACAATAGATATGTACACATCGGCAGATGGTAATATCACAATTTTAGAAATACTTCTTGAAACATGTGCAACATGTGGTTTTTTTTTAAGGATTTTTTTTCTGGTAAGCCCAGAACACTGTTTCAAATTTTGATGAGTTCAGTTACAAATAGATGTAGTAGAGGTTCTCAAAAATTTGAATCCCACATATACATGTACAGGAAAGCATTTATAAATTTGAGTACTAGAAATCATTGGAATACTTAATTCTTCTAGAAGAAAATGATTACAGTACATGACTTACAAACAGGAGATATATCCCTGATAAGGATGACTATACATTAATCTGACTGGTGTAGAAAATTAGACATGAATTTTAAGTGTCTGATAAAAGAATTCTTTTATATAACTGACCTTGATTTATTGGGAATGCTGAAATCTCATTCACACCCAATTAGATAAGAAGTCCATTAATTTTAAAAGTGTGTAGTGCAAGGTGTACTGTGTCTGATGAATTATCTCATTTCTATACATATGGGGTTGTTCAATGAGGTAATTTCTTTTTTAACAGGAAATTACTCAATATCTTTCACATGCTATAACTGTAGAGAATATTTTCTAAAAGACTAATTTAGACATGTGAAAATTTAAAATACAGTACAATATAGTATTCAAACCTGCCCATAAATTTGAAATGGAAGAAAATTGCTTGAGAATTGATCATGAATGCTCGGACCTCAGAATTCTAACATTCTGTCAATATTGTAATGAAGTGTTTAGAACACCAGAATGAAACAAATGCTTAATTGTAAAACTGAAAAAAAGTAGATTTGTCTTATACCAGTATAGGATTATTCTAAAGCAATTTGCTGTAGGTTTTCATAATCACAAGGATCGTCGTTTACCGACAACTTATATACGTCGTTTACCGACAACTTATATACCTGGTATATAAGTTGTTGGTAAACGATGATCCTTGTGATTATGAAAACCTACAGCAGGTCTGGTAATTTGTTTAATTAACAACTGTACATTGGTATTGTTAACATATTTACTGATCGAAAACGATATATTAAATCACCTTGTCATGTAATAAGTTTAAAGTGTCATAAATATATGTCCATTCCAGGTGAGTTACAAGTGAGACATAGATATATCACGTCTATGTAATACTTTAAAGAACATCCAAATTAAATCCCATCACTGGTATATGATAAGTCGGCTGTTCAAACAATGATTTCACCCTACTTCGCTTTAGCTGTAAGGAAGCTTTGTTTTACACCTGACTACACAGGTATATTGTGAGTCAGTACAGGTGATGTAGCACAAGTTGTTGTCTGTGTGACAGTAAGGTAGTAACTTATTGATGGTGTGTGCCATATATACATTGTTATCTTGTGTTCCATGACTGGTCAAATATGGCTTTGTTACACATGAATGGAGGAGTAAGGGAGTAACTAAGAGAGGAAATGGACACGGGACAGGTTCATGGTACATAATTTTGTTTATACCAGGCTGTTAAGAATTGTTTCACGAGTCAGTCACACATGACATGGTTTGGAGAAGATGAGAATTTATACATAGCTGGTTTTTAAAATTAGGCCCGATGATGACCTTGGAATTAAAAGCAATCACAGGCACAAGATTGTAGTCGGCAATTTAACACTTTTATAACAATATAATTATCTCTTATTTGAAATCTTCAGAATTATATCTGGATTTGTACACTTATATATCTCCTTCAAGATGAATAAAGACTAGATATTGAGCACTTAAACCACCAAACTTGTTTACTATCTTGAACAGGTAAACTGAATGATTATGCATATTTTTTTTTTCGTTTCATAAAACATGACTGTGATAAGACTAAATAACAAATTTGTTACGACTTGAATTTTCATTTGAATAAATGCAGTTTTGAAATAAAACAGACATGCACAATGGGTTAATACAATATATTGATAATGGAACAGATACGTTTTTTAATTCTTTATATATGATCTCTGACTGAAATTAGTTTTCTTAAGTACCCAAAAATGTAAAAAAAAGAAGATATTGAAATAAGTTCAGCCTCGGAACAAGCAATCAATAATTATATGATGGGAACTGGAGGAAGGAATAAGTGTTGCTGATCATCAAATCAGACTGTATAAACGATAGTGAGTAAACTGTAATTATAGATCTGATTTGTTTTACAACAACTATAAAGCAAGCTTTATCACATTATATAAATCACTCTTGTTGTCTTGGATGGAAGAGCGAAGGAGGAGTCTTAATTACTGTGGGAGGAAACTAGATTGTTTTGGAAAAACTGCTGGTTCTGCAGTTACTTGGCTTCCACTGAGCAGACATGAAAAGGTAGTGGGTTTTTCCTGGGTACTCTTGTTTTCTGCCACAGTAACACCTCCTCCACTTACTTTTGGACCAACGATGCTGATAGGTAAAATTAAGATAATTTATTTTGCATTTTGTTGTAAAATAAATAAGTAATTCTAGGATCTAGTTTATATGATAATAGATTACATATGGAGTGTATTGTGTGTTATCTATTGTTATAGCACTGTCTGTTCTCATCCAGTAGTAGTGATAATGACAATGACCTCTGCCCTGACCTCCATGGCTGGCTTTTTCCCCCAGGCTATATCTTTGTGTACTGATGATCGCAGTGTTGATTGTTCACTACCTGTAGCGATGTACACCTGACTGATGGATCCCTATGGCATGTGTATAATAGTTCCCAGATTCGGGTACAGTGGTATTACACTATAACCTTTGTCAACTCTCCCTCATACAGATGTACTACAATAAAAAGGTGTATGTACAATACAACTCAATGGTCACTCTATAGACACCTAATACATACATGATATATATGATTGTACTGGTCAAACTGTCCAGATATATGACAGCTGCACGTTATTGACAGATAAGTGTCATTTTACAGCCATTAGGTACAAACAATTATTGATAAACATGCATCTACTGAGCTATCATCCTTCTGATTAAACATCTGTTCCTTTACTTGTACAAGTACTGGACATACAGGACTGGTTTTATGTCCCTGCAGTGTAAGGCTGGTGGAGGGGGCTGGTATACAGTTCTAGCAGTACCTAGGTCTGCGCTGCCCTGTCCTAAATCACGGTCATCACCCTGTGCTTTCAATTTCATGAATTAGATTAAGGATTTCATACAGACTTTATGCAAATTAAAGGTCAACCATTGAAATAACTTCATATCCATGTTTACATTTTAGGGTTCTACTCTCTGTCACCATTATTTATTTATACAGTCAAATATTAATGACGGTAGGACATTCATGTCTTCCATATATTTTCTGGCCACAATATTAATTAATTGTAAGTATGAATGGACAGTACTGTATGGGTATTGGCTATTTATTGGTTTATTTACTTAATTCTCAGGCTTCTCAGTTTTTACTTTGAAGTTGATATTCAGTGTGTATGTTTTGATACTAGTTGTCCTTGTGTTGTCGTCAGAATTAAGTTAAAAACCTGTCGTCATATTACTGTATTACTGTTAGTCCATGGTAATCTATCTGTTGGAGACTGTACAGTTATGAATTTAGAAAAACCGAATTCAAAATTGTAATAATTGATGGTTGATAGGACATAGCTACTTCAAGCAGTATTGTTATATTATGTTATATTGATGTCGAAAATTCAAGTTCCAATGAAAGACATTATTCTTCATAAGTATTGATAGTATAAGTATTCAGGTTTGTCCTGCATTTCTATGTTTTTGTTCGATTTGAAATGAAATGTGATGTGTATTTTATTTTTATTCCAGTGTATAAAGACCAGGTGTATTCGTCTGAGGGTGAAGCGTAAACCAAAGGGCAGGAAAGTGGGTGAGTCTCAGCTGTTGTAAGAACCTTGTCTGAAGTGATATTGTACTAACAGTAAACAAATGTTACATAACATTTTCAGTTCGATTTTGGGTGCATTTAATCTAGACATGTGTTCGAAAAGTGGGGGCTGAAGTATCTGTGTGGTTCAGGCACCTGAGAATCTATATGATAATCACTAGCCCACCACCGCTGGGTGTGGTTTCAAGGTCTATTTGGGGCAGTCACCAGGAACTGGCCATTGGTTTGTGGTTTTTTCCAGAAACTCCATCTTTCCTCCACCACCCAAACCTGGCACATCCTTACATGACTTTGGTTGTTAATAAGACAAAAAAAACCAGCACTCTTAAACAAGCTGTCAAATGATTAGCCTAGTATTTAAGTCTGGCCACCACTGATAAAGTCTACACTGCATATTTTAGAGTGACCACCACTGTGAGAATGAGAATATTAGTCTGGTCAACACATAGCGAGTAGTATTTGAGATTTGGCCACCACTGTGAGAGTCAGTATTTTAGTCTAGCCACCACTGTGAGAATCAGTATTTTAGTCTAGCCACCACTGTGAGAGCCTATACTTGAGAAAGGCCACCACTGACTGCGAAAATCAAAAAGGTTAGTTTGGCCAGCATTATGTGAGTAATATTTGAGATTTGGCCACCTCTATGAGAATCGATCTGTATTTTAGTCTGACCATGAGTGTTAGAGTTGGTCTGTATTTTTGTCTGGCCATCACTGTGAGAATCAGTCTGTAAAATAGTCTGATCACCATTGTGAGACTCAGTCTGTAAAATAGTCTGGTGTGAGATTAAGAATCAATGTAATTGTTTTAGATAAAATATAACATTAATTAAAACAAGTACAATAAATGAGACTTCCAATTTGCTGCAATATAATTTCAATTATATGAAACTTTATAGCTTATACAGACAGACATGTCTTATTAACAAAACCATGAAGAAAATTACATGAAGAAAATGTATATTATAATGATAAATAATCCTAATCAAATAATAACAAAACATGTATGCTGTAGGTATATTGCTGTACACAAACCATTGTTCTAGAATATAAATACCCACTGTGTCACGGGGTATCAGAATTTAGGTATCAAATTTATAGTTCAGCAGATAAGGAGTTAATTGTGTTCATGTTAAATGGCTACATGCTGTTCCTGGGGGAGACGGTATTGGCACAGGACTTTCTGATCCATATCGCATGTACAGTACCAACAAGATTCTTCAGCCAACTATTCCCTGTCATTATTACAAGGACAAAAGATCTGTCAAGCATACACCATGATGAATATTCATGAATGTGGATGAGGGTCATTCTGTTTCATCTGATGACTTCGTTTTGGGGATTTCTTGCAAGACCATGATTACAAGGATCTGTTGTGTGGCTGATTGGCAGATAGGAATTGGATCTATTCATCAAGTGTGAAATGTCTGGTGTGTTCTGACCAAGACCATTTGGATTGAGATAATGTTAACTATCCTACGTTTGTACACATAGATGCACAATTATTCCATGAATATTTGAATGTGATTAGAAGTTTTAATGTAATAATTTTTTCAGCAAATTCATCCTAACATTTAAAAAAATGTTTTTTTTTATTTCTTAGATTTCAAAGAAAATTTTTCAGTAAGTTGTACTTGTAAGATTTTTCAGTAAGTTGTACTTGTAACAACGTATATCATCTTAACTTTTGTGATTATATCATTATCTTAGTTGCTGCAGATCTTAATCTAGACTATGCAACCTCAATTCGTCTGTGGTGTGTGTCAGATGGTAATAAACCCTACAATCTATGCTAAAAAGAAAACATTTTTCTAGGATGTTTCATTTGATTATGGAAATTTGTGGTCACCCAAGAGAGAAGATAGGAATTACATTTAGGGTTATCTTATGCCAATCATCTATTACTTTATCCACAGTATTACTGCCAGTCTGTACTTGTTAGTGCTTACAGTCTTCAGATCGATCAGTCTAATCAGAGATATTCGGTGAAGCTATGACAAAAAAGTGTATGTATAGTTTCTACATCTTCAAATAACAAGACAATCTGTACACATTCTACAATTACCATCATACTTTCTCTAGTAATCCTCTGGCTTTCTCTTAGTCACCATCAGAATTTTTCTTAGTCTCCATCAAAGTCATCGGCACAATCAGAGTTTTACCATAAGACTTTTGCTTAGTCGCCATAAGACTTTCTTTGAATTACCATTTGAATTTCTCTTAGTCATCATCTGAGTCATTATCAGACTTTCTCTTAGTCACCATCAGACTTTCTCTTAGTCACCATAAGACTTTCTCTTAGTCACCATAAGACTTTCTCTTAGTCACTATCAGACTTTCAGACTTTCTCTTAGTCACCGTCAGACTTTCTCTTAATTACCATAAGACTTTCTCTTAGTCACCGTCAGACTTTCTCTTAGTCACCATCAGACTTTCTCTTAGTCACTATCAGACTTTCTCTTACTTACCAGAAGACTTTCTCTTAGTCACCATAAGACTTTCTCTTTGTCACCATCAGACTTTCTCTTAGTCACCATCAGACTTTCTCTTAATTACCATAAGACTTTCTTTTAGTCACCGTCAGACTTTCTCTTAGTCACCATCAGACTTTCTCTAAATTACCATAAGACTTTCTCTTAGTCACTATCAGACTTTCTCTTAGTCACCATCAGACTTTCTCTTAGTCACTATCAGACTTTCTCTTAGTCACCGTCAGACTTTCTCTTAATTACCATAAGACTTTCTCTTAGTCACCGTCAGACTTTCTCTTAGTCACCATCAGACTTTCTCTTAGTCACTATCAGACTTTCTCTTAATTACCAGAAGACTTTCTCTTAGTCACCATAAGACTTTCTCTTTGTCACCATCAGACTTTCTCTTTGTCACCATCAAACTTTCTCTTAATTACCAGAAGACTTTCTCTTAGTCACCATAAGACTTTCTCTTAGTCACCGTCAGACTTTCTCTTAGTCACCATCAGACTTTCTCTAAATTACCATAAGACTTTCTCTTTGTCACCATCAGACATTCAAAGGAAGTACTCACAATGTAATGACCATTCTCTTCAATTATATTTAAATGACCTTACAATTTTTTTAAGCCTTGAGTTAAACATTTGTTTCTAAGAATAAGTAGTGCGCAATCAATTATGGGTCAATGTTTTATATAGGGAATGTTTTGTATTTATCAGTTTATGGGGTTTTAAGTACTTACAGCTGAGATCATATATAGAGGAAAAGTTCACAGGAATTGCAATGAAATTGAATTTTCTAAATGAAGTTTTAATTTGTGTAATGAAGATGTGTCAATCATCACAGTAGGTTAGCTGTAGATGAAAGGAATGCTGGGTTCACAAGAACCACCTGCAGCCTTGCATTCTTCAGCTTTTAAATATTGATACAAAAAAAGTTGAAAGTGTGTAAATTTACAAATGTTGTTCTCTTGATCAATAAATGCTTGAAGAAAGCCACTCTAAGGCGTGGAAAGCTACACCAGTTAATAACAGTTCATTCCACAATATCTACTCTGGAGTTTCAGCACCGTTGAAATGGAATATTGCCATATATTGTGATCTAGAACTTAGTGCTAAAAACAAAATGGGAAAAATATAGTGGATGGATCAATAAGAAATGTGTGCCTAGAAGAACTGGAAGACTGGTTATGTGTGTGTGATATATGTCAGCGAGGCTATGACAGACACTCACTGTCTCCTCGCTATAAACAACCAGCAGAAAAATTGTTTCAGGACTTTGTTGCATGTCCCCAGTTTCAAGTACTCTATGTGTGTGTATATGTAGGTGAAAGAAAATTGTATTTGGATTGTCCTATCATCTGGGTGTTAGACTGGCAAAATTGGACTGACTGTTATGTGGAAAGGAAATTGTCTATTACTTGTAGTATCTATGGAAAACAAATTATTTTATCAGCTTTACGAGTGGTGGAATGCATGGAAGTGATGGATTGGATGTAGATGGAATGAAGGCAGTAAGGTGATAGATTAGAGACAGTTTATCACAAGAAAATTGATTTTTTTTCTTTTGTGAAATTGTCTGCCTGACCTAAGTGATGCATTCTTTTATGGAGGTGTTAATAGCTAGCTTGTAAAAGATTGGAAATATGACTACAATGTACTGGATTGTGTGGCCGTAATTAGAAAACAACATCATCGGACACCTTTGACTTAAGTCACTTGTTCATCTGTATATATGCTGTGGCATTTTAATACAATTTCTGTAGCTGGTCCCAGGATTAGATTAACTTCTAGCTGTATCTGACGATAAAAATGTATGTGGCTATAACAGGAACCAGTAATCAGGCAACTGAGATAGGTTAGTATAGCCCCTCCCTCTACCTCCCTACAATCCTAATTTGAGCAGCTAGCCTGTGAATGGACTGTCCATGGCAAGGTTTAGATTGTCTGTGAACACTTATCTGTAGAGATAAATATTACCAGAATGTAATAGTGTGATATTTTGTTATTATAACAGAATACATGTTATTGTCAATGTACTCTAGAAGTGATAAAAAAAACTTTGGCTGTGAGGTTACATTTCAGATTATAAACTGCCATCTGTGTTTTGTCTAGTCGAGGGTGACAGTATTATCTGAGCTTGAGTATCTGTTTTATGGAAGGGCAGATATGGACTGTTCTATTTATCAGGCTCATTCCTACAGATTCATGTATGTACTTCACATTATGTTGTAGTACTTTTGATTTAGACCACAAGGGCATGCAAAATAATGTTATCATTTGGCAGGAATTCCTTCGATGCAATTTATCGTTTGTGTAGTTCAGTACCAGGATAGAATATTAGGTAGTGTATGTAGTAAAGGTTTACCTAGTCAGCCAGGTAAAAGTAAACCTGTTGGTAGGCTACAGTAAAGGTGTACCTAGTCAGACAGGTAAAAGTAATCTGTTGGTAGCATACAGTGAAGGTGTACCAAGTCAGCCAGGTAAAAGTAATCTGTTGGTAGCATACAGTGAAGGTGTACCAAGTCAGCCAGGTAAAAGTAAATCTATTGGTAGGCTACAGTAAAGGTGTACCAAGTCAGACAGGTAAAAGTAAATCTATTGGTAGGCTACAGTAAAGGTGTACCAAGTCAGACAGGTAAAAGTAAATCTATTGGTAGGCTACAGTAAAGGTGTACCAAGTCAGACAGGTAAAAGTAAATCTATTGGTAGGCTACAGTAAAGGTGTACCAAGTCAGACAGGTAAAAGTAAATCTATTGGTAGGCTACAGTAAAGGTGTACCAAGTCAGACAGGTAAAAGTAAATCTGTTCAGTCAGATAAAAAACATCTATTGGTAGGATAGAGTAAAAGTGTACAAAGGCAGTCAGGTGAAAGTAAATCTATTGATAGGGTAGAGTGAAGGTATACCAGTCAGACAGGTAAAAGTGAATCTATTGGTAGGCTATAGTAAAGGTGTACCAAGTCAGCCAGGTAAAAGTAAATCTATTGGTAGGCTACAGTAAAGGTGTACCAAGTCAGACAGGTAAAAGTAAATCTATTGGTAGGCTACAGTAAAGGTGTACCAAGTCAGACAGGTAAAAGCAAATCTCTTGGTAGCATACAGTAAAGATCTGTCTGATATTATGTACCAAATGAGTCACTGATCTGTGTGTGATAGTCATCCTGAGAAATTATTTGATTAGGAATTTGTATGTGATACTGGGTACTTTATTTCTTGACATTGTGTCAGATTTTCTCATTTGATTTCTCTGTGTAAATATATATCAATTAAGTCATATTGATAATTGGAATGTGATGCCTCAGATATGATGAGTGGGTGACTACTATAATGATATGCTGTATAGACACCTTTAGAATCAGGTTCTCAGACTGCCTAAGGCATGTTACAATCAGGAAAATTATACCAAGGTAATAAAATTGAAATTATTTACTGAAATAAACTGAGATAAAGGAATGATTTTTTTTCTGCACAAACTTAGTTTTATTAAGAGGGATATTGGAAATTTTACTGACTTGCAGCAGCAAGTTATTGTCAAAAAATATTGTAAAAATGTTGGTTTTTTTTTTCAAAATGTCATGGTCATCTATGAGAATTGTTCATGTCGTTTAACTAGTGTTTTGTTGCAAAATGTGACCAAGCATTAGAGAGAAAATCCCATGGAGTTACATATAGCTGGTGATATAACATGCTGAGCTTAATTAAAATGTTTATTCATGTTTGAGCTGCAGCAATATAAACAATACAGGCCTAATGCCATTGAATTTGTACCCAATGTAAATGTTTGTCCCTGTCAAATACCAGTGTGACATGTCTTGTAAATATTATAGATAGTGATGCCTACTGACTTATTTCCCATACGAATACCACTGTGACTTGTAAATATTGCAATGTTACTGATATTGACTGTACTTTTCAGGCCCAGAGATCAACCAAGTCAAGGATGCATACATCATAGCTGTGGAAGATGAGGCCAGAAAGAGACTTGAGAAAATCTCTTCTCGTCACCAAGTGGTCCCGTTGGATATGACAAAACTCTCTCTTAATAGCAGTGCAAGCAACAGTTCTACTAGTACTACACAAGCGGAAATTCTTGTGGATTGTAAAAAGCTGGCAATAGAGAATCCAGCATATGAACCATCTCTATTATTGAATTCATCTCGCCAACAGTGTTGTGGAAATGGACACCTAGAACAAACCAGAGACATGAACGGGTTTGCGGAATTGGACATGCCCCGAAAGGGGAAGAAAAAGGATAGCAAACGAAGCAGTAAATCTAGTACCAATAGTGGAACAGATTCTCCACTCATAGAAACTATCAGTGGACACAACGTTCTCAAGCGGCGAAGTCAGAACTCCCTCAATAGGTCTCGTGATGATGTCCAACAATTTGAGGATAGTTTGAGTGATGCCTATATGCAAAATTCGTTTGAGGTTGAATTTGATGACATTGGCCCTCATCGTGAAATGGCTATTGACTGTCCTGATGATTTTCCTCCAGCTGTGAAGTCGCCCCCTCGGTACCCTCCTCCCTCTCACTCTCAGTCTTCCTCCACACGCTCTCTCCCTCGTGCCCCTCCCTCTACACCTGCTAAGTCCTTAGATCTTGCCAATCACACAACCTCAACGGACAATACTTTAGAGTATGTGGCAAATTCCGTCTCAAATGGCCATCAGAATTTAAGTGATGACCAAGTGGAACGGATACGAAAGCACCAAGAAGAGCTACGCAAACGCAGAGATGAGGAGCTGAGGAGAGCACGAGAACAAGACTTTCTCAGAACTTCACTTCGAGGCTCCAAGAAATTGCAAGCACTGGAGACATCAATGAAGCAGACCCCTGTAGTAGGAGTTGTAAATACTGCATACGAGGAGAATGATGATGAGGTAGAGGTGCTAGACGACGGCTTTGGCAGTGCCCGGGGATCATCACAGCGGGACAAATACATGAAGAAAAATATAGGTTTGTATATATAACAAATTTTAATATCAGAACTGGGTGAGAATTTCGTTACGATAAACCATTTGAATTTTTCAGATACAGCAGGTATTTATATATCATTATGTACATGAAAATTTCCTTCATGGATAAGGAAGTATACATGTAATATACTGTAGATATTTGTAAATTGGCCAGTAATACAGATTTTTGCTATGTCTTTTAAAAGTATTTATCATAAGTTTGAGTAAATGCATTCCAAGGTCTTCAATGTATATAGATAACAATATGAGTGCTTGCTCACCACCCAAAAATTTGACATTGAGATGTATTTTTGATTTGATATATTGCCATATATGCATCTCATACAATTTTCAGTGAACATATATTTACTAATATGATGAAACATATAATCTAGTGCGTGACTTGATACGTGCATTTGAACATTTGCCAAACTTGTGACTGCAGTCTGCAGGTGAATCTAAATAACATTATTGATTGTATTGAGGGGAAATTTTGGTGTTTCTCTGTTCTGTTTAGTCTGCAATTTATTTTATTAAAACATAATTAGAACATACATGTATACTTCTGTAATGTTATGAAGTTTTTTTAGTCTGATTACGTAGCTTTAACTGGCCCAAAGGACAAAGCTGGCCTTAGCTTATATAGTCCAGTACTTGTATGTCTTTTCTAAAGATCTCCTTATAACCAGCAACAAAAAGTCAAATTCTCTTCTGCAACTGTGGAATAAACTTGTCCGAACCATAGTTAGACTGCTGATACAAGTAAAAAGCTAAAAAAGGACAAACTGACCAATCATGGTGCTGATTGATAGAGGCCAACAAAGATATAATGTCAGGAACAGTAATTAAGATATATTCCAACAATATAACAGGCATGGAAAGAGCTTAATTCCTAGAGATAGTAACAGCAGACAAGCTATTAGGGCCACTTAGCAAAGAAAAATAGGTGTACAATTGTTATCAATGAGGAATGGGGTCCATTGATGGTCAAGCTCTTGGAGTATTTAAAACACAAAATATAACAGAGAAAAGGGGTAAATTCCCAGTGAGTTGTGAAAGTGGATTTGAATACTGAGTACTTTTAAAACTCCTGAATCTAAAGTGGAAATGCTGTTATGATACATATTTAAATGTAAAGTAGCAAGCATATAGTATTTCAATATTAATAAAAGTTGTTTTTAAAAACCATTATCTAGGAAAACTCTTACAGTTATAGGCCTTAAGAGTATTGAAAAACATAAAAGCAAAACTTTAAAAACTTTTGTTATCTTACGAAACAATAGAGAAAATAATTAAAAATTGATAAATAGTTATTATTATATTTCAAATTACCACATTTTTAAGGAAGGTAGCTATATAGGTATAGGTATTCAAGAAAAGTCTGGGCATTGGATCCTTCAGATGCTGCTGTTTTTCTGGTGATTCTTTAGTATGTAGCATGCATTGAAAGAATGCAGTGTATGTGCTAGCTGACACTATTCATATTACACAAAGTCAGACGGAGATATGATACCTGTTGGTATACCTATTGAACAAGCAAAAAGTTGGAAGGTATTTGTAGGGGTATCGGTACATATATGTGACTGTGTACTTTATGGATTTATACTATAGATATATTTGTATAGGTGTAGCCATTGTAAGGACTTTGACATACACAGAGGATTTTCTACAAGAGCGATATTACATAGTGTTTACAAGGGTGGCTGGCTTTTCCTGTGACTGTGCTGATAATGTCAGAAGTCAACAGGTATCGCAGTAATGTCTACAGTGCTGTTTAGGATATTGAGGCTACTGACAATATAGAAGGCATACAGCATTCTGTTTACAATATCATTCAAACTGGATGATTCACATCATTTTTCTTGTCTACAAATATTCTAGTAAATGCTTTAGAATGCTTCAGAGGAGGGCAGGCATTTAAAAGTGTACAAAAAATCTGTAGGTCAAGCATGTACGGTAACTTTACTGAAACTAGTGTAAATAAATATTTCCTGGATTCTTTTGTGATAACTTTGTTGTCCATTCTGTTTTGGACTTTTAACTGCTATATATGGACAGTTTTTAGCCACAAGGCAAATTCTATATCGATTTCGAAAAGAAATTGGGATAAAGGGGTAGGGAAAGACAGAATGTTGCTTAAATTTTTTATCTCAAATATTTTTTTAATAAGGAGAATGATACACAGGACTGATATCAAGTAGCCAACTAGGTCTGCTTCATCAGTTGTGATCAGTATTTTGTGTTCATCAAAACTGACACTGTGTAAGTAGCTGTAATTACTTTACACTGGCAGACAGCTTAGAGAAATAGTATACTGCAAAAGTTGTTCGGCACACTCTTCTCAAAGCCATAACACATGTTATTGATGACAACATAGCATTGGTTCACCATTACAACAGCAGTATTTCAATATCAGGAAAGCAAAAGAAAAGTAACACTCCAGTATAACATGATAGAAAAAAATACCTTATCCTGATAAAATTTCATTGTCTTTATTATCACAGAGTGGAAGATTTTTAGACTCTAGTTGTCTTTCATCATTGTCCAGCACTCTTCTAAAAGTAAAGTGAAAAAACAATATTGTAATGGAAATACTGTAAATAATATTAACTTTTTCACCAAACATGAATTTTTTTTTTGGCTTAAATTTTTAGGCCTCAGTCTATATGTCATATATACATATCACTGATGGTTTCACACATTGTGGGAGTCATTTTTTCTTGCTACATATATACCTCACATCAAATGATTATAAAGTTTTGGAATGGCAATCTAGTACCGATGGTCTCAGATTTACTGAAGCATGATGAAATAAATTCTAAAGAGTAAATTCTAATGGAATTGTCTGAAGCATGGAGTTTTTCTCGGCATTTGTTCTGGAGTTACTCACTTTCTGCAGGCTACACGTCTGCATCTTTTTATCATTACACACGGTTTAAAGGAATATGGCCTATTTCCTTTAAACTGACTACACCTTGTGTAAACATGATTCAGATATTGTTCCTTTAATATCAAAATACAAATCCTGCCTTTAGTTTAATATGGTCTCGTTCTCTTTTCAGGAGTAGATGATTTATTTTCGACACTACATCATATACAGAGCCGTCTAAATGCTGCTGAGGAGAGGGATGAACTCTCTTTTCTGAAAAACTTATTTCACAGTCGTGAGTTTCAAAATGCTGTTCATGTACACAGCAAAGTTACGAACATTTCTCAGCAGTCGCCACCCCCTAAGCCAGAGTGTACAAATGCTGTTCAGATTTCTAATGAAGTGTTTCAGGCACTACAGTACACAGAGTCTCCATATGCATCAGATCTGATGGACATGCTCAGTCAGCCAGGGCTACGGGTATGTATAATCAGATGGAGACATCACCATCTACTCTCCAACATTAGGTCTCATTATAGACAGGACTAAGGGTATGTACAAGACAGTTGGGGACAGTCTACATGTACATTTGGTCTCATTGTAGACATGTCTAAGGGTATGTACAAGAAAGGTGGGGACAGTCTACATGTACATAAGGACTTATTATAGACAGGACTAAGAGTATGTACAAGACAGGTGGGGACAGTTTACATGTACATTAGGTCTTATTATAGACATGTCTAAGGGTATGTACAAGACAGGTGGGGACAGTATACATGTTCATTAGGTCTCGGTATAGACATGTCTAAGGGTATGTACAAGACAGGTGGGGACAGTCTACATGTACATTTGGTCTCATTGTAGACATGTCTAAGGGTATGTACAAGAAAGGTGGGGACAGTCTACATGTAGATAAGGACTTATTATAGACAGGACTAAGAGTATGTACAAGACAGGTGGGGACAGTTTACATGTACATTAGGTCTTATTATAGACATGTCTAAGGGTATGTACAAGACAGTTGGGGACAGTATACATGTTCATTAGGTCTCGGTATAGACATGTCTAAGGGTATGTACAAGACAGGTGGGGACAGTATACATGTACATTAGGTCTTATTATAGACATGTCTAAGGGTATGTACAAGACAGGTGGGGACAGTCTACATGTACATTAGGTCTTATTATAGATATGTCTAAGGGTATGTACAAGACAGGTGGGGACAGTCTACATGTACATAAGGACTTATTATAGACAGGACTAAGAGTATGTACAAGACAGGTGGGGACAGTCTACATGTACATAAGGTCTTATTATAGACATGTCTAAGGGTATGTACAAGACAGGTGGGGACAGTATACATGTACATTAGGTCTTGATATAGACAGGACTGATAGAGTCCCAAATAGCCTATAGGCAGAATGTATATAAAGGTCCCATGATAAGCTATCTATAGACAGCTTTCATAGTTATGAATTAAAGAGGATGATATTTCACTGATATCATACAGAAACACACTTTGTTCATTTAACTGTCTGATGATATCCTTTGCTAACACAGTTGCCATGAAATATCAAGGAACGTATACTGCTATATTGATATCGGACCATACCCAGTTAATCAATATCATTCTATATACTTGGCTAATATAATCTTCAAGAAGCTTACTTTGCTAATACATTTGTATTTGAACATCTTTGGCTGGTGTATTTGATTATATTTGATACACTTGACAGTACTTGTCTGAAGTTGATAAATCTGTTCGGCGGAACTTTAGGCTACAATATATCACAACTAAGTGATGATTCATTGTTGTTATAATGCAGAATCTTCTGCGAGCCCATGATAGTATAGCAGAAGAGACCTCCAAACCAGCCAGTCATGAAAATGTTGATGATCTACAGGAATACCCTATCACTCCTTATGGAGAGGAAACTGTACGCATTGTCTACCTGGAGAAGACTAGTGAGCCTTTGGTATGTAGCTTCACATGTAAAAAGTCTAACAAATTTCCCATTATAAAGAGTCTAAGGTACAAATGGATGCTGCATTGCTTGATGTTTACTCAGCCATACAGTATTTTACTTTTGACTTCTGACAGTAATCAACTTTTTGCTTGTTTGACAGGTAAGGAAGCAGGATATACATTTTAATTTCCTCATTTTATTACACACTGGCTGGTCTGTATCTACATCACACACTGGCTGATCTATATCTACATTACACACTAGCTGATCTATATCTACATTACACACTGGCTGGTCTGTATCTACATCACACACTGGCTGGTCTATATCTACATTACACACTAGCTGGTCTGTATCTACATCACACACTGGCTGGTCTATATCTACATTACACACTGGCTGATCTATATCTACATCACACACTGGCTGGTCTGTATCTACATCACACACTGGCTGGTCTATATCTACATCACACACTAGCTGGTCTGTATCTACATTACACACTAGCTGGTCTATATCTACATTACACACTAGCTGGTCTGTATCTACATCACACACTGGCTGGTCTATATCTACATTGCACACTGGCTGGTCTGTATCTACATCACACACTGGCTGGTCTATATCTACATCACACACTGGCTGATCTATATCTACATTACACACTAGCTGGTCTATATCTACATCACACACTGGCTGATCTATATCTACATTACACACTAGCTGGTCTATATCTACATCACACACTGGCTGATCTATATCTACATTACACACTAGCTGGTCTATATCTACATTACACACTAGCTGGTCTATATCTACATTACACACTAGCTGATCTATATCTACATTACACACTAGCTGGTCTATATCTACATTACACACTAGCTGATCTCTATCTACATTACACACTAGCTGGTCTGTATCTACATTACACACTGGCTGATCTATATCTACATTACACACTAGCTGGTCTGTATCTACATTACACACTAGCTGGTCTATATCTACATTACACACTAGCTGGTCTATATCTACATTACACACTAGCAGGTCTATATCTACTTACACACTGGCTGGTCTATATCTACATTACACACTAGCTGGTCTATATCTACATTACACACTAGCTGGTCTGTATCTACATTACACACTGGCTGGTCTATATCTACATTACACATGAGCTATGGTCAGGGTTAACGTTGTAATACACTTCACTGTACAATGTTTATATGTATGTGTGTCTTGTTTATGGTTTTAGAGCACTTTTATAGATGCCTTGGTAATTTTCAGGGTGCTACTGTACGTAATGACGGTGAGGCCATCATTGTGGGTCGGATAGTTAAAGGAGGAACAGCAGATAAGAGTGGTGAGTCTCCTGTTGTCTCATACTTGGGTCTATTCTACTGATCATAAACAGTATCTTGACTACAGAATTAAGATATTAATATAAAGTTTTGATTCTGAAAGAAAAATACCAAATTATATATGATCAATTGAAGCATAATCGGACATAGATTTCAAAATAATGTAGACAGCTTAAGGATATGCAAATAATTGTCTTTATTTAGACAATAATAAGATTGTATTCAATTCTAGGTCTATTACATGAGGGAGATGAAATTCTAGAGGTGAATGGAGTGGAAATGAGAGGCAAAAACATCAATGATGTGTCAGACATGCTGGTATGTGAACTTTCTTCTGTCATGCCATGGCCGCCTCTCTGGGTCAGCCATGCCTTAATTTCTGAACAACACTGTGTCTTTATATCACCACAATATTGTCACACTGTGCCATGTAAAGGTCAGCTGTGTCTTCATTTCACTACAATACTGTCACCTTGTGTCACATCTGCGTCAACTGTGTCTTCATATCACCACAATATTGTCACACTGTGCCATGTAAAGGTCAGCTGTGTCTTCATTTCACTACAATACTGTCACCTTATGTCATATCTGTGTCAGCTGTGTCTTCATTTCACTACAATACATACTGTCACCTTGTGTCACATCTGTGTCAACTGTGTCTTCATATCACCACAATATTGTCACACTGTGCCATGTAAAGGTCAGCTGTGTCTTCCTTTCACTACAATACTGTCACCTTATGTCATATCTGTGTCAGCTGTGTCTTCATTTCACTACAATACTGTCACCTTATGTCACATGTGTCCACTGTGTCTTCATATCACCACAACATTGTCACCTTATGTCATACCTAGGTCAGCTGTGTCTTCATATCACCACAACATTGTCACCTTATGTCATACCTAGGTCAGCTGTGTTTTCAAACCACCACCACATCGTCACCTAAAGCTGATATTGTTATGGATAAGCTTGATGTAAAAAGAATTCTTAAAAAAATTACATATTGTTTGAAAACATTGACATGATAATATTTTTTTTACAGGCTGACATGACAGGAACCATCACATTCATGATAATTCCTTCTTCCAATTATGCCAAAACCTCGTCAAATGTCCAAGTGGTAAGTTATTACTAATTCAGGTTTGTTTCTGAGTCCAATGGGAAACATATGGGAGATACTGCAAGAACATTACACAGTAAATCATTCGTTACAGTGAAAAAACTAATGTTTCATGTACAAACAAACTTCATGCTTAAAGAAATCCTAGTGATGTCAACAGTTCCAGCTTGTAAACAGCAGCTTCCATATTGGATGGTCCAATTATCTAAAAGTGTTTTTCTTCCATAAATTTGATGATTTATTGTTTTTGTTCATCAGTATCAAGAAATTATCTTTACAGACAACACTCAATTGATCATTGATAATTTTACTCTTTTTTGTTTGTGTGTTAAAATAACTTACAAGTTGGATGAAAAACTACTGATTTTTTTACCTCTGCTAAAGTACATATTTTGACATTGTCTTTTTGGCTAACAATATTTCCTTTGATAAGGTTTCATCTTGTCATAGGGGATGGTTACATACAATGTTAATTTATAACCCTTCTGATCGAGGGAGGTATTTACAAATTATTGGCCTAGCCACAACATGTAAGTGCCTTGGACACAAGGCTTAAAACTATTGGCACATGTGTTGATTTCATGGTCAGCTGATTGGAATAGGATCATAATTGCTGCAGTAAAGTTGGTTTTCAGATATAATTTTCAGTATATTTTAACTGTTTTGGATATGACATCAATTTGATATTCCGGATGGAGAAGGATCAGAATTGGTTTTTTTTTTTTTTATTATAATGCAGATGTCATTCTGTAAATCATTATTTCTTTCAATTTCAAAAGGTGATCTATTTTGAGAAGGATCAGATTAGAGAAATGTCATTCTACTGGTTATTTGATACTGTGGTTAACTTTAAAAGTGGCAATTTTGGAATGTTCAGTTACAAAGAAGTATGAAGTGATTTCATGACTCTGGGATGACAAGTACAACAACATTAGTATATTGAATTACATGGAAAAGGTTTAAACAAAGAAACTTGATAACTTTTATTTTTAACAGATACATGTGAAGGCTCTGTCTAACTATGACCCTGAAGATGATATCTTGATTCCTTGTCGGGAGCTTGGTATATCTTTCATGAAGGGAGATATACTTCATGTAATCAACCAAGAGGACCCTAACTGGTGGCAAGCATATCGTGAGGGAGAGGAGGAACACCAGTCACTAGCTGGGCTTATCCCGTCAAGACACTTCAGGCAACAGTAAGTTCTCCTTTCAGAACTCGTCAGGCAGTATATATTTAAACAATTTAGGTCCTCTTGCTCTTTTAAGATGTCAATTATTTATATGTACAAGTCAGTATAACAGGTCAAATGTGCCTTTAATTATTTTGACATTGGTATCATGTAAAAATGGTGAGAATTTAAAATGTTTCACTTTTAACCCTCAGAGTTGAAGCCAACAGAAAAACTTTATCTGGCGAAAACAAGGAAAACCAAAAGAAGGGTCGGTCATGTGCCTGTGGAAAGAAAGACAAAAAGAAAAAGAAGAAGTCGCTGTATAGAGAAACAGATGGTAAGCTAAAATGACCATGTTTAAGGACCTGTATGAGATTGGAGATGTTTATTAACCTGTATGAGAGGGGAGATGTTTATCAACCTGTATGAGGTGGGAGATGTTTATCAACCTGTATGAGGTGGGAGATATTTATCAACCCCAATGAGAGGGGAGATGTTTATCAACCTGTATGAGGTGGGAGATAATTATCAACCTCAATGAGAGGGGAGATGTTTATCGACCTGTATGAGGTGGGAGATGTTTATCAACCTCAATGAGAGGGGAGATGTTTATCAACCTTAATGAGAGGGGAGATGTTTATCAACCTCAATGAGAGGGGAGATGTTTATCGACCTGTATGAGGTGGGAGATGTTTATCAACCTCAATGAGAGGGGAGATGTTTATCAAACTTAATGAGAGGGGAGATGTTTATCAACCTCAATGAGAGGGGAGATGTTTATCAACCTGTATGAGGTGGGAGATAATTATCAACCTCAATGAGAGGGGAGATGTTTATCAAACTTAATGAGAGGGGAGATGTTTATCAACCTCAATGAGAGGGGAGATGTTTATCAACCTTAATGAGAGGGGAGATGTTTATCAACCTCAATGAGAGGGGAGATGTTTATCAACCTCAATGAGAGGGGAGATGTTTATCAACCTCAATGAGAGGGGAGATGTTTATCAACCTCAATGAGATTGGAGATGTTTATCAACCTCAATGAGATTGGAGATGAGGAATTTTCACTATAGAGTTGATTTGATTATCTGGTTAGGGCTTAGAACTTTCTTGTGTTATGAATTTGTCCTTCGTTATAATTATCACTGTTTTCAATTTATAAATATGTCTTGTATTTGTTCAGATAATGAAGAGATCCTGACCTATGAGGAAGTTGTCCAGTACTATCCACAACCAAACAAGAAACGTCCAATTGTTCTGATAGGTCCTCCAAATGTAGGTCGCCATGAACTCCGACAGAGGCTCATGGAGTCTGACTTGGACAGATTTGCAGCAGCTGTTCCTCGTAAGCATCCAATACAATTCCTTAATTGTAATAAGAAATGCCTTCATATTAATTCAAAATTAATCTCGATGATTTGATACATATTCGTAGTTTGTTGGTACATTGATCACAAATATTTATGATTTGAAATATCAGCAATCAAACATGTTACCACATTAATTATCAAAACGTTAATGATGTAGAATATTAACTATCATTAAAAGGGTATCAAATATGACATAATCCATTTAAGAGTGTTTCTACAAATAATCAATTAGAATTCAGTGGGTTTTTACGATTAAGATTAGTACCACTAATAAGATTAGAATATAATGGGACTTTCAATGGTCATCATGTAGAATTTAATGGTATTTTTACCAGACACCAGCCGTCCTCAGGAAGAGCATGAAGTGGATGGCAAGGATTACCATTTTGTACCTCGGGCCATTTTTGAGGCAGACATTATTGGACGAAAGTTCATAGAACAAGGAGAGTTCCAGAAGGCATTGTATGGAACAACATTTGGTGCAGTCAAGCAGGTCATAAACCAAGGAAAGATCTGCATCCTCAACCTACATGCTGAGGTAGAAATTTCTTTATTATCATCTGGACACTTAAGTAGGCATTTTAGATGTTACAGTTTAATCCGTATCTGTCACAACTCATAAAATATCATCACTTAAATAACTTAATTACTTTTTTGTAATGTTTAAAGTCTTATTATGAGAATACCTATATAAACTAATACAGGAGGATTAATTACAAGATTAATTTTCATTTTATTCGCCTACCAAATTAAAGCAAATCACAAAATGATACATGTGCGGGAAATTTTCACTATCTAATGACGTTCACATAATTAGTGTAAATTTCCCCCGTCGCGTAAATTTCCACAATTACAGTACTCTACTAATTTGAAAGGGACTTGAGGCATACAAATCTGACAGCATTTACTCAAACTAATGTAAGCAAATCAAAATAATAGTCTTTTCTTCAAAGGATTTTTTAAGATTTAAATATTTTGACTCCCCTTTGTACATTTTCAAATGAAATAGGAACCATTTTTATATTGATTTTATGATATTTCAGACATTACGTGAACTTAATACATCAGACCTGAAGCCATACGTAATTTTAGTGTATCCCCAAAACATGGAAAAATTGAGGCAAATTCAACAACGACTGGGACAGACTAAAATCACAGTAAGTTTGCATTAAGGATATATACTCTTAGTAATTGATTTATGTTGTCATTTAGTCAAAGAGTTCTACTTTTCATATCAAATGTACCATTTGTTTAATTCCCAGCATATTAGCATGTCATGAATTAAACAGTGTAGTTATTCATTATTCAGCTTGTACAAAGTTGTTACCAATATGTTGCCATGGCAATTTTAATTTCACCTAAGGTAACCAAATATTTATATGTATGAACAATTTTCCTTAGTGACAATTATTGGAATTATGTTTTAGTACAATACTTTCAGTGCAAAAAGCACAAGTGTTTTCAGTATCAGTTTTTTCAGTACAAGGGGAAATAACTCATTATCAGAACTTCTCTGTATAGTTGTGTACACTGGTACTACATTATCTGACATTGTGGTCAGTTGTCCTGTTACCTGTTGACCTACTGTTTGTTGCCATGGTAATAACGATTAGTCGTCTCCCTTTAGGATGAGGATCTGAAGGACACTGTTGACCGAGCTCGAGAGATGGAGGACAAGTATGGACACCTGGTCGACTTCATTCTGGTCAATTCAGACATGGACTTAGCATATGAGGAGCTTCTCAAAGAAATCAATCGTATAGAGGTGGAGCCTCAGTGGGTACCTGCCCACTGGTTGTCAGGTGACAGATAGCTCCTCCCACAAAAGACAAGATAGTGGCATCCCATGTTGGTTTTGGGCTGTTCATTTAAAGATGGGTAATTCCATCTATAAATTATAAGGTATAGAGCAGAAGGTTCTACACTTGATAAACAAATGTCTTGTTATTATGCATCAGGTTTATAGGTTGTTCATAGTAACATCAGGTTCTGTAGACTTCTTCCAAGGATCAAAGAATTTGCTCCTAACACATAAGATGACAAGGAGGCACAGCATAATCAGTATATGTGGAGAGATCAGAACATTGTATCTGTAGATATATCCAGTCTATGGTATATATGCCAGAGGAGAATTTCATAATGGCTCTATTGTTTATACTAGTACTTGAACCAATGGATTCTTGTAGCATAATGCAATTTTAAGATTTTGTACTTCCTTTGTAAAAAGCATTCCAATTTAGCAAATTGACAGAAAAGATTTCTGTAAGTATTCAAATGGAAAATATATTTTATCGTATGAAGATCAGCAATGCAAATTTCAAGACTGTAAATTAACACTGCAGGAATGTAGGATGTATAATTATGTACCCACTATATATCATAATCTTCCAACCTTGCCATAAAGATGTATTACAGGAGGTAAAGTTGAGGACAGAATCACATAGGTATACTTGTGAGGAGAAAATAGTATGTACAATTTTGTCACAATGTTTGCGGGAAACATACAAAAGTATTTAATAAGATGTCTTTTTTTCAGCTTAGTAAATCTTTGTACTAACAGTCATAATGTCTGTGTTATTATAGGTTGTAAAAACTATAGCAGCAGTAACTTTGATGTTTAATCCTTTTCATTATTCTACATATATGAAAGGTAGGAATTTTGATGACATGAACCCACTTAATTCAGTGACCAGACATTTTAGTCATAATATGCCTAGGATACAGGATAGGTTGTCCAGGATACAAGATATATCCAAGGTTGTCAAGGATACAGAATATATTAGTGGTTGTCAAGGATACAGAATACATTAAAGGTTGTCTAGGATACAGAATATATCAGTGGTTGTCAAGGATACAGAATATATCAGTGGTTGTCAAGGATACAGAATATATTAGAGGTTGTCTAGGATACAGAATATATCTGGTTGTCAAGGATACAGAGTATATCCAAGGTTGTCTAGGATACAGAATATATCAGTGGTTGTCAAAGATACAGAATATATCAGTGGTTGTCTAGGATACAGGATATACTTTGGGGATGGTATGCTTGTTTTCATGCATACATAGGAGATTGTAGATCAAGCCATATGAAAGAAAAGGCTTAAAATGTTTGTCTGCATGGATTATCTGTCTTAATTATGGTTTATATTGATTTCTGCTGTCCATACCCTGAATTTCTTTCTCTGAATGGTAAAAGTATTTGTTTACTGAAGTAGATCAATAAAACAATGGACATTGATTGGAGAGAGGCATCAATACAAGATCATGACAGGAAACCCATCCAGAGTTGTCAAGGCTTTTCCTTCAAATGGATATAGGGATTTATGTATCATTCTCTATAGAATTACCCAGTAAAGGTAGGAGACAAAACCATGTGATATGATTTCATTTCATTGTAATATCAGCTGAAATTGATTCCTGGATTAAGAATAACATCTACTGTAATGGTTATCATCTTTATCAACATTTTGACATTAGGCCTACCATTAAAATCGCTAAAGAAAACTGAATCAGAATATGTCACAAAGATTATCATACTCTTCCCATATAATATGCACATTTTAGTATGTCAAAGTCCATGTCAATCATCTGCCTCAACCGGGAAAATGTCTGCCATCTTTGGGCTAGTGTCAGAAATCAGGAGTATATTGGGGATTAGATCATGAAAATTAAGCGATGAAAAAATGGGTTACATAACCATTAATTTAGAATGGACTTTTTCACGTAAACAAGATCATGCGAGGATTTGGCTATTCGACTGCAATATTTAGGTACAGTATGGGTATTTTGTTGCTTTTTTTCACATTAGGAAGTGTCTTCCAATTTGGGGATTTCATTGTTTTTTTCTGGTTTTTTTTTTTTCCTTTTTTTTTAAATTCATTTATTCATAGGCTATTGAAATGCTGGTCCAGCTCCTGTTTCACACTCTAGGTAAATGCTTTGTAGTCTATACTAAAGTGATATCTTTGATAACACCACTGCCATATATACTTATGTGTGTTCCACACAGTATACTGACGTGTATTTTACCCACAGGTCAGGGTTGATTACTTGTCATCCCATTCATACAAAACTTGTGTGCATTGCTATGAGGATATATATGACACAGGATCACTTCTAGACTGTCTACATCCAGCCAGCTTATTCATCTTGATGAAATTACATTCCATCCATTTAATTTTATTTTTTAATTGTTACTTAAATTTCAGTGGCAACATTAACATATCATGCTCTCTTGCAATCATTTGTTGTGTACTTTTGATCAGAATTCTGTGTAAATTTCTTCTTCATTTTAACATTGCTTATCAGTTGTAGTAAGCTATTTCAGTTTAATCATTTTTTGAAAGCTTTAGAAGTGTATCTATGTTTCCGTGGTAACATTTCTGATTCCTGGAACTTGATTTTTGTTTTGTTTTGAGTTATAGAAATTTGAAGGAAATAGATGCTATAAATTGATACTTCAACTAATTTTTAAAAGAAAAACAGGATTTTCTCTATACAGTAGGTTGTATTTTGACTCTCTGACTTTTCTAAGTAGAATTTTCCCTCAAGGCGAAAAAAAAATTCAGATGGAATTGAATTCTGAATAAATGTTCACATGTTAATTGAAGATCAGGATGACTGATGAGGTGAAGCACACACCATGCATTTCTTATGTTAATCTAGTAAGATCAGGGTTAATATAGCACATCTATGTGATGTTTCCTGGTTGGATAAATTCAAAATGGTTGTGTGTGTATCAGATAGAAGGAATATAAAGACAGTCCTGTACTAACTTCCCTACAAAATGTTGTTTAAGTGTATTTTTTCTTGTATGCTGTATGTTTTTGTGGTTCTCATTACTACAATTAAAGAAAACTTGTTAGAATGATCAGTATTTGCCAAATTAATTGATAGATGATTACACTTGTACAGCATATGCTCAAATACAATGTTTTTGTTGGTTTATACCGTATAGAATGTGATGTAGAAACTGTTATACTTGTTAGTAAGTAGGACTGTAGTTAATGTTAGATACTTGGTTGTGAAACGGTGACCATTGTCTCTGGATCAAAGCAAAGTCTCACTTCTCCTATCTGTAACCATTTGTAATGTGATTCAAAACTCATTTCTTCTGAGTGGAGTTTGATTTTAAAAAAGGCCAAGATTACATACTTTTAGATCTGTTGAGGTTTTTGTATATTGATGGACACTGTCCGCCATATTAAGAAAAATTAATAGATTTGACTGAATTTGAAATAATATAGTGTAGAATTGAAACAATACTTTTGTGAGTAAGTGAATTAGATCAGTTTTGATGTTGTAAATTTGTAATAAATATTGGTATATATGACCAAATAAATGCACAATCTGTCCAGTGAACCTAGGAAATAATGAAGTCATTCTCTAAATCACGGTGCTATATATATTACACAGGACTTCTTGCCTTTAATGTTATTTGGAATCAGAGAGTCTTGTGTTGTAACATATAATATGTATATTCTTCATACATCTGGAAGACATTGTAGACTTGTAAACCTGATTCATATAAAATACATGAAGTAAAATATATTCTAAATATTAAAACCTGCCATCATAAAAATCACTTGGAAAAACACACTTTTTTGTCTTTGAAATCAAGATAATTTTGTTATGATAGGGGTTAGCTTGTTCAACAGTTAACCTGTTCCAATAAAAATTTTGCTAATGTATGCTAGTTCACAAATGTTTGCAAGTTTTGTCTATCAACAATTTGATAAATAAATTTCTGCCAGTGTACTTGTATTTGCCAATGTGCTGGTATATTTTTGTTACATCAATGTGGTCATCAGAATATAATTTGAAATTATTTCATCATAACAAATATCTATTCAAATATTTGGAAGCAATTTGCCCAAGATTTGTTATCATGCTAATTCTTGTGCGGTGTGTTTTATCTGTGTGCCGTCCATCTTGTTATAGTTGTAACACACTGCATGTTTATAAGAATTCATATAGTGCTGGTTTATTAGATTTTATCTCTTTGTATATCAAAACGTCACGATTATAAAACAGAAAAAATCATGTTTCATTTTGATATTTTGTTAAAAATTTGATTGTTGTGAATTAGTTTATGAATAATGGGCTCAAATTCTGCCTCTCTACCTTTAACATTATAACAGACATATTGAAAACTAGGTATCTTCTCTTCTTTCTTGTTTATCGTAATATTTAAACATTGATAGAAATAATAATGACTTAAAGCTGACAATGCAAATTAAAAAGAAATAATTTTCAGATAAAATAGATTTCCATTTCCCAATTGCTTCTGAAATGCCCCTTATGATGACTTCTTTTATTTTTCTTTAATCTCTACATAAAAGCTTCTCTGATTTAAATTGTCAGCTTTAAGATTGTTTGTAACAATCTCGACGACCATACAATACTTTTAACAAGAGTAAACTTTGTGTATACTGACATGTAGGAAGGTATATACAAAGAAATTTCAGTACAGAAAAGAGGGCATTTTTCATATTTTTAATGGGAAGGATCATCCTGGTACCAGGATCAATCATTTATACAGAGTAACTTTTAACTTGTTTTTCAATATTGGAACAGAAACAATACTTTTTGTGGATCAAAGCAGTTCAACCAGATGTCTTAATTGTCACTTGAGTGTAGTAGTTCAGTCCTTGTATCTTTTTGTATTCTTTAATTCTTTGTCTCAAGCAATGAAATACAGTTCTGAGAATATATGTGTAGCAATCAGACAGTGAAGTGTTGAGACCATGGGTACTAGACTGATCTCAGTCCATTATTATACTGTGTGTACTAACAGATGAGATTAATTATGTACTGAAGACCACGGGTACTAGCCTGTTCTGTCAGTCCATTATTATACTGT